GTAGAAAACACATAAAGAATGAAATCTACTTACCTTCATCTTTGGTTGTTGAATTGCACTGCTTCCGTTGGCGCCTGTTGGCGTTGCTTGGCAGCAGCAGCACCAGCGAAATGGCGACAATGGCGAGCACCAGCAGCGCCGCGTGGAGCTTGGAAAGTACTCGGTTGAGGGTGAGGTGATGGTGGTGGTGAAGGTTCATGATTTGGAGATGAGTATCTTCAGATGATAAACCGGATGATGAAGCCGATGATGACAGAGATCCCTAACTCGAACACTACCGACACACTTTATGGCGCATCCTAAGCAGCAGCATCAGCAAAGCATAAAACAACACAGCTGATTTTGTGCGTGTGTGCATGGGTGAGTGCAACAATCATCATCACCATCGTTTGCTCAGCTGAGTTGTACCACCACCACCACCACCACCACCACCACCACCAGCTTTACTGATACTTTAAGAGCGGGGCGACATCTACGGGGGTGATATCACTTAGTGAAGCCCTCCATAGCAACCAACAGCATAGGCAATAAAAGGGCAATTAAATGAGGGAGATTATTGACTGGGAGAGCTTGGGGATTGGAGATGGAGCTAAGAATCACAGTTAATCACAGGGGAAGCTGGGGACAATCAAGGACCGCGATACGGCCCGTGATTGTCCTTGGTGATGCGAATCTCATCCAGCGTTCGATTGTGGTTCTGCGAGATGGTGACAAAGCGCAGCACCCGATCGCTCTCCACCGTCAGCCGACTGTAGGTGTAGTCGGTGGAGCGGAAGGCGCTGTACTCCGCCACGATTGGATTCAGCGCCTCCGGCTCGAGGACGCAGCCCTGAAGAGGAGAAATAGTTTATACCCCACAAACAAAAAAGTTCCTCAACTTTGCAACCTACCGCCGAGCCGCTGGTAATGTGCACCGGCGCCTTTGGATTGTAGTACGGGTCGTCCGCCTTCTCCGTGCCATTGTACACCCGGCGATTGTACACCGGCCACATCCGCTCAAAGCTGGTGGGAGAAAGATTGTCGTACAAAAAAAATTTCGTTAACAAAAAAGCTCCCAAACTCACATATGATCGTGGGCGTAGAACTGCACGTCGACGCCGTACTTCCAGAAGAGCTGCTCAAAGCCGGGCAGCTCCGGGGTGCCGACTCGAATCTGGCAAAAAAGATAGGAAAAAACACAAATTCTAGAACTAAAAAATTACCCCCCCCCCAAAAGCAAACTCACCCGATTATTGACGTACCAGTTATCGTAGAGCGGCCGGTGGCCGAGGGTGATGATCCACGGGACGCTCCGCCGATTCTCATTCGCCCTCTTCAGGTCCTCCTCGAGCCACTGCAGCTGGGCGTGAATGACCCCCGTCCCATACTGCTGCGTGTAGTAGAACTCGTTGGTGAAGAAGACGAGGTGGGCGCGGCCAAAGTTGTAGCTCCACCAGAAGTTGTTCATGGCAGTGGCCAGGTCCTTGCCGGTGTCGCTGCCCTCGCTGAACATGCTGAAGCGGGAGTTGTAGGCGGTGTAATTGTCCAGGTCCTCGTGGTTGCCCGGCATCACCTGGTAGGGGCGGTAGCTGGCCAGCCCCTCGATGTCGCGGAAGAAGGCGTCACCGACCTTGCCGTCGGAGTGCTGGAGTAATAATAGAGGGAAAAAAGATATGAAAAAGGTTTCTGATCAGTCTTCGAACTTACCTCGAGGTTGTAGGCAAAGTCCCCGAGGTGGATGGCAAAGTCGGACCGCTCCGACTGAATCTCGTCCTGGAGCATCGCAACCGTGCGGTCGTTGCCGTTGCCCAGGTCGCCAAAGATGAGCAGCGTCGGCATCCACATCTCCCTTTCCGGCAGCGTCTTGAACTGCAGCACCGGGCTCCAGCTCTCGGTGGAGCCGACGCGGTAGTCTAAGCCAGAAAAGAAAAAAAAGTTTCAATTTCAAAACTTCAAGAATGTAAAAAAGTTGTACTTACAGTACTTCCGGTTCGGTTTGAGGCCGGTCAGCCGCACTCGATGCACGAAGCGGACTGACTTGAGCGGGCCCAGGTCCTTGAAGGAGGTGCTGTACCCGCTGACCGATTGTTCCAGGCGGTCCACGCCGTACCAGACGGTGGCCGGACCGGCCGTCTGGTTGAAGGTCAGCCAGGTGACCACGTACTCGTAGATGTTGGAGCCAAAGGAGAGGTGAATTTGCTGCAGAGGGAAGGAGGAAAAAGACGGATTTTTAGTTACNCACTCGATGCACGAAGCGGACTGACTTGAGCGGGCCCAGGTCCTTGAAGGAGGTGCTGTACCCGCTGACCGATTGTTCCAGGCGGTCCACGCCGTACCAGACGGTGGCCGGACCGGCCGTCTGGTTGAAGGTCAGCCAGGTGACCACGTACTCGTAGATGTTGGAGCCAAAGGAGAGGTGAATTTGCTGCAGAGGGAAGGAGGAAAAAGACGGATTTTTAGTTACAGAAAATAAACAGGTTTTTATTTTGTTGAGTTTAATAAAAGAGTTGCTTACTTCAGGCGTCTTGTAGACGGGCGCCCACTCGGCAAAAGAGTGAGTAAAAAGGGTTGAACAAAGGAAGAATATGAGGGTGATGATAAAAAGGTGGTGATAAGGATGAGGATGAGGGTGATGATGATGATGATGATGATGATGGTTGTACAGTGCTGACATGATGATCAAATAAAGATTTAAAAAGATTTAAAACTTGAAACAGATGATTACTTCTTTGGTTGCTTTATAATAAGAGCGCACAGTAAAAGTGGTCTGCTGTTTGTGTGGTGGGCTGGTAATTTCGCTTCAGCAGGCGTTCAACAGGCGGAAAATTAGCAGCTATCATGCAGTGCCCTTTCAACAGCAGAAAACTTTTCTAATGAAAAGGGGCAGCTTCACCGCAGTTTGGATATGGTTGAGGTATTAGGTAGAGGGAAAAATAGGTTAACCGAAGCAGCAACAGCAGCAGCAGGAGAAACAACAAGTGACAGCCTTGAGACATCTTCTTGCCAAATCTTGCTGCTGTTGTTGACATGGTTGTGCATGAGGATGAATTGGTAAGGTGACTAGAGACAGTTTTATCAGAGATGCTAAAAGAAATAGAAATCAGATAAGTGATCAGATGTAAACAGCCAAACCGAACTCACCGAATTTAGAACAGCTCGTTCCATTCTGTCCGTCGAAACAGAATCTAAATCTTCTCCTCCTCCACTTTCACCACCACCACCACCACCACTTAGCTGATAGTAGGTGACGATAATGAAGAGAAGAATCGCCGAGGTGATCAGCACTAGCAGCGTCGTAGCGAAGAGTGCAAAGAGCTTGTTTTTGAAGAGCCGGGCGACATGAAAGGTGAACGAAGACGACGACGTCGAGGGATTTCCGTCTCTTCTTCCCGAATTGGTTGAGGCCATTTTTGACGAGGTGGGACGAGTGTTTGTTGGGGGCGATGGATGCAGTGATGTCGGTGAGGAGGCAATTTTAATCTGACAGCTCGATTGTTGCTGCGTCCAAACGGCGGAGATTCGACTCTTTCCATTTTGTTGATGTTGTTGTTGTTGATGATGATGTTGTGGTTGTCCATTGTCCTCCTCATCAGTACCATCAGTAAGATCAGTAAAATCAGTCCCACCATCGTCATAATCATCATCACTGTCACCATGAAGACAATCTTCTTCTTGCTGACGCCAGCGGTTGACAGCAATTGACATGGCTTTGATCGCCTTCTCTTCCTCCTATCTCATATCGAGGAGGTGCTTATCTTCGGCGGCACTTCTTTCTTGGTGGTAGAAGCTGTGAGGGTGATTGCATAACAAACACCTAACTGGAGGATAACGAGCTTAACGAGATCTATGGTAATCACAGGTAGTGGTCATAGCAAAGGTCAAAGGTGAAATGATGAGGGAGAAATAGAACCGGTGCAAAATCAGCCAGCCAGCGCGCCGGCGCGCAACTGAACTGAACAAGTTTTGGCGGTTTTTCTCTCACCACCTGCCTGCTGCTGCCCTCTACCGGCAGAAGCTGTCACCTAATAAACGAGGGCAGTGTTTACACTTTCATGCTTCATTTCACTTCAACCTCGGCTCTTCCTCTTTTTCAACCAGAAAAAAGTGCTCCAGGACAGCTCCACCAAAGTACCAGAGTACCAGGAGCCAGTGTTCACCGATGTTCAAGCAGGGAAAGAAGAAGGTGGCATCAGACATGGGCAGTCGATGCCCCTCCCTCTCCTCCCACTGCCAATGTCCACTGAAGCCCCGATCGCCCCAGTACTGGAACAGCCTCGTTCTTCAGCTGCTTAAGGAGAATCGAAAGCAGCAACAGCAGCAAGAGCAAGCACACCTTAACCTGAAGGAAAAGCCACAGCCGGGGACAACTTCAGCAGATCAGAGCAACAACAACAACAACAACAACAAACCACGATCTCCTTCACAGCCACCGCCTCCTCAACAAAAGTGTCTGAAAAGAACGTCCGAGCCGGAGAAGAAGTTTTCTTCAACTTTTCGAAACAACTTCTACTTTGCCGCCGACTTCAGCGGTGATCCTTACGAAGTCTACGACCCCTTGCCTAATTACCCGCACTTTTCCGCCCTCTACGACTGCCGAAACAGGTCCTCTCTTTACGAGCAAAACACCAAAAGTGCCTTCAACGGTGATAATTCCTCCTCCTCCTCTGATAAAGGCGTTGAGAGCGTGGTGGTGTACTCTACGCCCAAGAGACCTCGCCTGGAAAATAAGAAAGTTCTTCCTGTGACAAAAGTGATCATCATTAAAAGCTCATCTTCAACTCCATCTTCATCAGCCACAAAAACTGCAAAACTAGTCAAAGAGGAAGAAACTGAGAACAGCAGCGACGAGGGCAAGCTGGTCATTGAGGAGGAGGCGTAAAATGTCCAAAATATTGCTCAACTCGTACTTACTTTTTTGTGTGTACCAAAACATTGCCCTCTCCTCACTTTATTATTCGTGTTCTTATTTGGATTCCACTAAACTCACGTTCTTCACACAACAGCGTCAAATATAAAGATAAAGAACGTGGTCAATGATAATTTTTGAGAGTTTACTTTATTCTTCTCTTCAATTACCCTTCGTCACCTCCGCTTCCTCCTCCTCCCCATCATCTTCATCCAGTCCACCATCGAAAAGACTGTCCACCCGACGCAGGTCGTCGAGGACCTGACTGAGGACGCCGTCCAGCGCCCTGGCGCTCTCGGCAAAGACCTGCTCCAGCTGCTGGTCATCCGCCTCGAGCAGCTCCTCCGGGTCGATTACCTTAGGGCGGAAGAGGTGGCTCGAGGAGAAGGTGAAAGAAGAGGAAGAGGACGTCAGGCGGTGGTCGGGCACCTTGAAGTAGTGCACCTCGCTGACCATCTCCTCTGAGCCCACCTTGTACTCTTTTAATGTGAAAACAAAACAAAGTTCTAAAACCCGTCCTATAGATTACTCTAGATCAGTAACTTACGGTAGTTGATGCCGGGGATGAGGTCGCCGAGGAGGACGAGGTGCTTGAAGAGCAGACCACCTCCACCACCACCATTTTCCTTATCAGCCATTATCATCTGCTTCTGCTGCTGCTGTCCTCCAATGGCGGTGCTGGTGAAGGCGCGCGTCCCGTACCAGACCATGGACAGGCTGGTACGGTTGCTGGTGTACCACTCCACGGCGATCTGATTGCGGCCTTCTATNTGGTGTACCACTCCACGGCGATCTGATTGCGGCCTTCTATCAAGCAGCAAGGAGTTCGATTAAATTCTAGAACCATCGAAAAACCGCCTCTCTTTCACCCACTTACGATCAAAGAGCAGACGAACTCGCTGGGGGCGGTAGGCG